TGCAGTTACTGTCTATTCTATTTTGTTCTTTGCCTCAGTATTATATCTTTCACCTTGTGCAGTCCTATTCATTGTTTGTTCAAAAATTACGCCATATACTTTAATTATACATTCAGGGAAGAATTTTTTTTTTTTTTTGGGGGGGGGGGGGGGGGTGTTATTGCCTTGCCACTACTTTAGTTTTTCTGTGTGGCGCAGTGATTTTGGTCACAAGCGTTGCAGAAAATTATGTCCGATGGGATGTCTATAAGGAGATACTCCGTTCCCCACCTAGGGCACCAACCTTCTCTGTGCTGGTTTTACGAAACCCCATGCAAGACTCCTGCTGCACGTCCTTGTCGTGCGCTATTATGAGCATTAACAGAGCTGGCAGTGGATATCGTAGCTGGTGGCCCCCAGGGATGTAGGGTCTAGTCTGACTCTCATCAGCTCACCCCCAATGCATGGGTGAAAACGTCTATCAAAAACTAATTTAGAACATGAGGAAAATCCGCTTGCCGAATGTACCACTAAATGACATTCTTGGTTAAAAGTCTGTCAAGTGAAAGGAAAACTAAACTGCTGAGACTCTGCCCTAGACCAAGAGATTTACCCACAGCTTAGACCAGCAACAACTCCTATGGGCGTTTTCTCGCGATACAATTCTATCTTCCTAATCACTCCTCAACGTCGTCACCGCGTTGAGGTACACCTTGACAGCCAGTGTCAGTCTGCTGGTTAGGCTCAGATGGTACACAAGCAAAGTCTCAATGTCCGACCGTCAGAAATCCTACTAATTGGCAAAACGGTTCAGATGCCCGTATCCACTGGCCCTACTTGCCCGAGTGTTGGGACCAAACAGGGAAACCCATGCCTGGTGCATGCCTCTCCATACTGTCGTGCTAAGGGCACAGTTGAAGCAACGTTCAAGGTGTCTAACGTAATGAAGAAGAATGTGCCAAATTTGTGTGGTCATCGAAGTCCTGGACCTGCGGGCTGCACATTGCTAATCTCCGGAGGGTACAGCCTGTGACTAGTGGAAAGCTCAACATACGGTTGTGAGGTTAAGCAGTCATGTGCAGGACGAAGCTCTGGGTTGAGCTTCAGCTGCTGATAAGAGGGAAGTCATGGATGGCTCAGGCAGAAGACAAAATTAGACAGGTTTGCATCCTTGAGAACATTAGGCGAGGAGAGCAGTGGGTCAAAGTGCCACCTGAACAGACTTGTGTAGGGTCATAATCACGCTGAACCGGGAATGCAGAGACTAGCCAGCAGATGCCACATAGGTGAAAATTCAGCAGTTAATTCAAGATAATGCTCGCTCAGAAGATTTGATTATTTACACATACGGTTCAGTGTCAAGAGGCAAAAGAAGTGCTTGGGGTTTCTTAGCAAAAGTTAATGGTCGACGTTTGGCGCAGGAGAACCTAGCATATGATACCACAACATCCAGTTTAAGAATGGAGGTGGAGGCGGTCACTGCGGCTTTTCACTGGCTAGAGAACATGACACACACACACACACACACACATTGTGGTTGTAACTGACTCGGAAAGCATGCGGAGGAAGATCAGGACAGGCATGCAGAGTGGCATGCCTCGCTGCGGAAGACACGGGTGAGGAGTATTGTCTGGATTTTTTCACCAGGGTATGCCGGTGTGTTGGGAAATGAACAGGCGGACAGACTTGCTGGCTCTGCACAGCTTGGTGGAATACTGAGGCATGGTAAGGCAGACGTGGTTAGTGCCTTGTGGGAGAGCTTGTGCAGTTCGGAGGAGCAGATTGATCACCACAGTGTGGTGAGATTGATGCACTTGGGGGTGAGAGGTTCTGGCAGATGCTCGAAGCTCAGAGGAAAGGCAAGACGGCACCATTAGTATCGGAACTCTTCACTTTCTGCTGAAGATGGAGACGGAGCGTTTATGGGAATACCCCGAGTGCTGTGATGTCGGTTCTTGAATCAAATCAATCAGTGCAGGACGTGACGATTCCTTGGGTGAGACCAGGACCAGAGCATCATTTATCGGCTCTGCATTTATGAAAGCCACTTCGGATGGCGGGGTATGCCCTTGATCTGCCCCTGCCTTCCCTTGAGGGCTGATTAGTCTACTCGAGGTTGCCTTAAAGAGGTTCTCCAGGGGCAACATCTGTAGACAAAGGGACACAAATAATACCACACAAATAAGGCAACATCATGTCCCACGAAACAATGGCAACAGTCATCCTAGAAATAGGAAAGACGTCTTTCTTTGAAGTCGGATTACATTTGCCCGAGAGGCAGAAAAAAAATACTGCACACAAAAAAGCCAGTAAAACGGATGTGCACGCAAAACTCATGTTCTGGTACAAAGTCCAAAAGTATGAAAACCGGGGACTTTCTGTCGGAACTTAGAGCCGGTGAACAAAGAAGAAGAAAAAGAAGAATCGTTTTGTTATTCAAGCCGTGACCCATGGAAGAATTGATAGGGAACTTGAGGCAAGATGTCAAAAGGCAAACGCGGTAACTTACCAACTCTCCCCACTGCTAAAACACCCAAGCATCACTATGGCACTAAAACGACAACTGATAAATTGCATGTTTATACCAACCCTCTGCTACCAATGCCAAACCTGGTCCCTAACAAGAGCACAGGAGAAAAAGATCACGACGTGCGAAATGAGATGCTTACGTAAGGCTGCCAATGTCACAAGGAGAGACAGAGTTCGAAACGAGAACATTAGAGCAATTGTAGGAACCACACCATGCCTGCAATACACAAAGAAGCAACAAATAGAGTGGTTTGGCCACTTGATGCGAATGCAAACCGACCAACTGCCTCTACGAGCATACAACGAACAGCACTACTGCCCTAGAGCAAGAGGCAGACCGAGAGTACGATGGATAGACAATATATCAGAGATCCTGAGGCAACATGGACTAACAACAACACGTGCAACACACCTGGCCCAGGATAGAAAACTGCGACTCCCCACTAAGCTGTGAGGCAATTGTGGACAAGACAAGACAAGACCCATTCTTTCACTTTCCACAACCACCGTATCTATAATTTTATGTTGACCTTTCAGTCTACATTATTTGGTCACCTCTTGAGAAAGACAAAACTAGAGTACACAATGTCAGATCGCGGATAGGCTAACTAGTCACTGATGCTTTGAAAAGCAGTTTCTAGCATGCAATTTCCCAATGTATTGTTGGGAGTAGAAAGTTCTGTCGCCCAGCTAATTAGTTGGGTGTTTGGTACAACACTGGGAGCTGTGGATTTCCTGGGGAGTGACCCTCCCACCGTCACCTAGACCCCCGATATGCCACAGCGGTTTTGTGTTGTCAACTACACTAAAAATGGTGGGCGGTCGATTACTTTCGGAATAGCGTGTACTTATGCATTATTGTATGCTTAAATGCCGGCTTTCATAAATGACTGTATCAGATCTAATTCTAGTGACAGACTGTTAAGGATGGTGCTTTTGACGGCTGCCTTATGCATTTATTCTGCGTGTAGGAGCTTCAAGATGTTGATAGGACTGCTATTAGTTGGATTATCTTCACTACACTCCACACCAATCCTTAGGTGCACTGATTCCTTCAACGTATTCATCAGCGTCGTGCAGTCAATAGTGCCAGCTCTATGCTGGTAGACAAGACTTTTTGTGCGTCCGATGTGCTTCTCATGCTTGACCGTGCTGATCTTAACTCTCAGTTCTCGTATACTTAACACTTATGTAGACACATTGCTTCCAAAATCTCGGAACGTACTATCTCTCTAAGGGCATTGACAGTGTCGGCGTGATCCATAGCCGACCACCTGCAACTAATGCAGAGAAAGCCAGTCTAGCAGCTCTTTCATTGCCAGTAACACCCGCATTCCAATATAAAAGTAACTGCACTCACATGAGCCTTTTGCGATGAATCAATCTACTGTCTACGTGATGAGCCTGCCTCGACCCGCCGGATCACGCTCATAGAATCAGTTTTTCACTAGTTCTTTACACGGGAGAGTAAAAAGTATTATGTTATTGCATTATGATTTTTACTGGCAGAACTGGGCCAGATCACTTATGGGAAGACCTTTCTGCAGTGACGTTTGAACCTTGACTAACAACTAAGGAAGTCATGAAAGTTGAAGAAGAGGAGAAGACGTGTGACAGGCTGACATCATGGCATATAGGCCACCTATGTCAAACAAGATTCAGAAATTACACGAGACAGAAGGCTGTAGAAAGATGATTACCAACGCCATAGGCTTTTAAAGAAGAAGATGTCTAGTCCAGACTTCCTTTCTTTCTTCGTGTAATGTAATGGATTGCATCCTCAACTTCTGAATTCTGGTAAAACACTTGCAGGAAATGTTGGTGGACAATCGTCAGTGTCTTGTATATCGCCTTCTTATTATTCTTCAAATTATTAAAACCATCAAAACATTTTCGCCTCATTACTACAGCACCATCCCTACGGTTACTTTTATATTTATATATTACAATATTTATCTGATTGCAAGAAGCCATAGACTCTAAGATATATGGCCTAGGCAGCTTTATTTTCTTCATGTAAAGTAGTATATCTGGTCTATTACCATTCTATGGTTCCTTTATATATTCAGTTCACCTATTAATTATATTATTTTGCCTCATTTCGACAGCACCATCCTCTGATTATTTTAAATTACAATAAATAATTGAATCTAGAGTTGTCTAGCCAGTGTCTGAAGCGAGGCTGTAGCAGACAACGCTCACCTCAGCCACAGAAGAGCTACCCTTTGCTTGATGAGAGCAGACGATGGTCGCCAGTTCATCATTGATCGATCTGTTTGTTTTCTTCCAGGCAGATAAGTAATGGATTTACACGACTTTAGGCAGACATCAGGAATGAACAGTCTTCGAACCAACATTTTATGTAACTAAAGCGGAAGCAAAAATAAAACAGACATCGAAAAGAAATATTTCAAAAAAAAAAAAAAAAAAGAAGACACAAAAAAAACAACAACACATCGAGCCTGGATCTAGACCACACATAATTGAAAACAATGGCTGGGTTTTATAATTTGGATCATAAAGAAGTCATCCGCATAAAAGTGAAAGTGAGTTGTCTGTTTTATTCATGTGATCAGTTTAAAGGTGGAAACAAAAAATAGCAGAGATGCGTCTTTCATTGTGTACACTATATAAAATAAATTCATGCACTGGTTACTTTGTCATGTTCTTTTATGTTAGGGTTAGGTGTGTTTTTTTTTTTTAATTTTGAGACCATAACAGCTTGATAAAAGCTAAAAAAAAAAAAAAAAAAAAATTAAAAAAAGATTCTTCAGTGAACCATATATCTCGATTCTAAATGATAGTATTTTTTTCAGTGTCAATCGTCATCTTAAAACAAGTATATAGAAAGATGACTGACTGTACTTAGGAATATTTCTAGCTGAAAGAACTAAAAAATGTCTTTCCTGTAGTATACAGTAGAAATTTTAGTGTGCAAAATCCAACCAATCCTGAACTAAACTGTAAAGAGCTAGTGTCAAGACAGACATAATTTACCGATAACAATTGAAACAGGTGAATATTTATGGTAACAGTGGAAACAGTTGAATCGTTAAGGTAACAGTGAAAACAGTTGAATCTTTAAGATAACATCATTATTTGGTAAAGAGAATTGACTTCCCAAAACATTATCTTCACTCAAAATCTTTATTTTCTTCTTCACTTTCATCAGCTATAAACTCCAGCGGAAAATTCTGGTTGTTTGTCCACTTCTGGACTTTAGTCTTGTTCCAGATCCTGAGTATTGTTGCACATCCATTTTACATTTCTGACTTATTTGCATGCAGACTGTTGGTTCCTTGCTTCTCAGGCAGATGCACTCTCAATTCAAAAGAAGCCCTCACATGTAGTTGACTCATACACGATTCTTTTTTTGGAAGGCAGTGGATCTCTTCTTGTTTTCCTCACAATGGGGCACCGGAACCCACTGGGAAATGAAGTTTATATAACACTCAGTGTGTCTTTAATTTTGTAGTTATATTCCTAAATAATAAGGGGATTGGCACTAGAACTAACTGAATTTGAAGAAAATTGCCTTTTTCACTAATATTTATTCTCATTGTACCAGCTGACTTTGCTATCTTTGTGGGCTTTGCATGAGGCACATATTAGAGCTATCCCTCATCACAATGTGACTATAAATGACTAAAACAAGTCTGCTTCGAAACTTTTTCTATCCAACTTAGGATGAATCTGATAAACACATGTTTTATTTAAATTTGAGGCTTCTAAGCCGTATATCATGCTGGCATTCATGTAGATACTGCTTGGTGACCATATTATTTTCACACAGACACTTAGTAACTCAGTTATGCTCGCAAACATACTATATGTTAGGCTTTAAACCAAGTTTCTAAATAAACCTGATGGTCATTTTGTGTGATATTGAACACAGCCAACTGGAGAGGAAGTTTCAGTTGTACGATTCCGGTTTTACACTGGTCAGATGTAAGTTAAAAACTTGTGCGTGTCACGCACTGATTGTGCGATTGTGCAGTAACAAATAAGTACGTGATGGATTCCTTGAGATTTAAAGAGTTATCTTCAAGATAACAGTTGAATATTTATGTTACCAATTGAAGCAGTTGAATGTTTGAGGTAACAGTGAAAACAGTTGAATGTTTAAGGTAACAGTGCAAACAGTTGTATCTCTGTTGCCATGTGGGTTCTGGGGCCCCATTGTGGGGAAACCAAGAATAGACCCACTGCCCCAGCATGTTATAAGAGTTGACTTGGGGGCTTCCTTAGAAGTCAGAGTGCATCTGCCTGCAAGGCAAGGAACCAACAGTCTCCATACAGATAAGTCAGATCTGTAAAACTGATGTGCATGCAACACTGAGCTTCTGGAACAAGAGGTGGATGAACAACCAGAAGAATCTTTAAGCTAACACCGGAAACAGTTGATGATTAGGCTCAAAGAAAACACATGCAAATAAGGGCAGCATTTTTCATATAGATGAAAACTGAAGCATTGTGAAGGTGACAGGTCACGAGAGGGTAATTAGCACATGAAGTGTCTGTTGCAATCAAGAATTATGGCCTATAGTATGATGAGATATGATAAGAGAGCAATTTCTTCATCATAGCCGGTCAGTGTAGATAGTAAAAAGTAGGCCAGGTTAGTAGGTTTTTGCACAGTTAGGGTATGCTCAGATTTATTAAAACATGACAAAGACTGTGTGGCCTAGTTTTACATAAACACAGAAGGGAGGTATTGCTGTTAGTGTGATTTTATGGTGTATTTTCCTATTAAAAGGTGAAATTCTTCCTCTGCCTCCGTGCCTCATTGGAGCATAGGTACTCAACCAAGTTATCCTTTAGCCATCTACTAGGTTACTTGCGTATCCTTTACAGGGCATTGCAGAACCAACCTCAGCACCCCCTGGCTGTTGTGTGGTTTCTCTAGGCAAATTTATGTCCAGTAGTTTGCCATTGCTTTCTGGACTATCGGTCCCCTGATACCACTGTGATTTGATTTGATTGATTTGATTAAAGAACCAACATCACAGCACTCGGGGCATTCCCATAAGCGCTCTGTCCCCATCTTCAGCAGCCAGCGAAGAGTTCCGATACTAATTGTACCAGTAGCTTTCTGATTAAACGTCCGTCTTGCCTTTCCTCTGAACCTCGAGCATCTGCCAGAACCTCTCGTCACCCCCAACTGCATCAATCTCACCAGACTGTTGATCCATCTGCTCCTTCGAATTGTACACGCTCTCCCACAAGGCACTAACCACATCTGCCCTATCATGTAGCAGTATTCCACCAAGTTGTGCAGAGCCAGCTAGTCTGTCCGCGTGTTCATTTCCCAACACACCGGCGTGCCCAGTGAAAAAAATCCAGACAATACTCCTCATCCGTGTTTTCCGCAGCGAAGCATGCCGCTCTGCACAAAGCATACCTGTTCTGATCTTTCTCAACATGCTTTCTGAATCAGCTACAATCACGATGTGTGTGTGTGTCGTGTTCTCTAGCCAGCAGAAAGCTGCAGTGACCGCCTCCACCTCCATTCTTAAGCTGGATGTTGTGGTATCATATGCTAGGCTCTCCTACACCAAACGTTGACCATTAACTTTTGCTAAGAAGCCCCAAGCACTTCTTTTGCCTCTTGACATTGATACCACTGTCAACCAATGCAAGGCGCATGGCACGCAGCTGGGATCGAACCCGGCATCAGCCATCTACTGCAGCTTATTAAATCTTACAGTATTACCCACTTTCTCTCTCCTTTCCGTATATTGATATATCACTGGATTTTGTTTGCCCCATGGCTTCCAGTTTAAGAGGATTCTAATATTATAATTATCATGCCTTCTCAGTCCTGTCCAAAACCACCCTGTCTTCCTGACCTGTTGACCTGAATCATTTTAGTTTTCTCTGTATGCTCAGCAATGATTTTCCTATGACGAAGTGTTTTATAAGGTTTTTTAAAACTCTGCAAATGCACCAAAATAAATGTTTGAAGTTTATTAGTAGTTGTTTGAGTCATTCTTCTAATCCTTACTGCAGTACTCTTTTGATAATATGCATTACTCCTTCTTCTCTCTCTTCTTTATCTTTTTTTGAGGTCATAATTGTATTGTTTCTGTTTGCTGCATGGCTGTAATAGTTGTTCTTCTTGACCGACGCATACAGCTTCTTCAGCATTTGTTGTCCAGATAAAGTCATGCATTTTAGATTGCAGTCTTATTATCCGTTGTTTACTTTATGGATCTCTTCAACACTTGGGTGCTGATGCCATCCAGCAGCCATTCTTTCTTTCAGTTCAGAAAAAAGTAAGATACCTGTTTGGTGTCTTGTATGAATGAATTAAAAAATGAATCCAGAATTGAAGTCACTGCACTCGAGACATTCCTACACATGCTCTGTCTCCTTCTTCAGATGCTATTGAAGAGCCAACCTGACTAATTCCACCTGTTTCCCCCTCAGTGTTGAATATCTTCTAGAACTTCTACTCTCCCCCTCCCCCCCTCCCCCCTGTTAAATTAGACTTACAATGTAGGTATTCTCTGTCAGTTTGATGCCACAATCCATTTAATGTCTTGTTTGTTGCAAAGCTGCTACTGCCTGGTGCCAAACAAGCTGTAGATCAGGGCTGTTCAGCTAAGTTTACTCTGGTGCCAAAATATTGAAAATGTGGATTGTCATGAGTCAGAGGCCCGAGCGCCAGCATAGAAAGATCATTGATAGAATACATTTAGCTATGATCCATTGGCCACTTCTAAAGTTTCCATGGGCTAGATTTGGCCTGCCGGCCGCCATTGGACTAGCTCTGCTGTAGATGCATATATATCTGTCTGTAATGTTACAACTACAGTTTTATTTTGTGGAGTTACTTCCATGAGTTCTGTCTATGATTTGTTGCAGAAATGTGATGGGAGGATGCAGCCAGAGTACAAGAAATTTTCCATTGATCCTCAGATAACATCGTTTGAGATGCTGCAGGGAATCTTAGCCAGGGCATTTGATATAAACAGGTATTATACTTTGTTAGCTGCCTTTTAATATAGGATTATATTCTCAAGCCTTTATGTTTATGATATACGCTGTACTGTGTGGTTTATGAAATTCATTATAGTGTGTGGTTTATGAGGTTTGAGGTTTGAGCAACAGTCCAACATCATGGCACACGGGTAGTAACCCTTAAGTGCTCCGTTCTTCTTTTAACTCAAGTCTGAGTCTGAAGAAGCTCAGCACAGGGCACAGGCTCTGTAGCACCGCTGAGAATCCTGAAAAACTTTGGGTAGATTTTTAACTCCAAATATTTCCCGGACAGTGCCATTAGGCTACTCTTTTCAATTTCCAACTGCCAAGGGATTTTTTACGTGCGCGACAATGCACATGGGCGTCCGATCTCACTACCAGGAGACCAGGTGTGTGGTTAATGAAATACATTATAGTGCATGGTTAATGAAATACATTATAGTGCGTGGTTAATGAAATACATTATGGTATGTTGTCGATGAAATACATTATAGTGTATGGTTTAAGAAATACATTATAGTGTATGGTTTATAAAATACATCATAGTGTGGGGTTAATGAAATACATTATAATGTGGTCCCTGTGTGGGTTTCAGTGTCCTGTTGTGGAGGAAAACAAAAATAGACCCACTGCCTACCTAAAAGCATGTCGTAAGAGTCGACTAATTGGGAGCTTCCTTCAAAGTCTGAATGCATCTGCCTGAGAGGCAAGGAACCAGCAGTCTGCATACGAATGATTCAGATCTGTAAAATGGATGCACACGCAACACTCAGGTTCTGGAACAGGACTGCAGTCCAAAGGTGGATGAACAACCAGAACTTTCCGCCAGAGTTTACAGCTGGTGAATGCGAAGAAAAAGATTATAGCGTGGGATTTTTAAAATACACTATACTGTGTGGCTTATGAGTACATCATAATTGTTAAGGAAATGTATTTTGTATCTCAACAGTGACTTCACCATCAGCTACCTGGCTCGTGACTCCGAGGGCCAGGCTGTCTACCTTTCCATGTTGTCTGACTGGGATATGGATGCAGCTTTCCAATGTGCTGCTGATCCTTGTCTCAAGCTTAAGGTTGACCTGCGGCCCTTTGAAGAAGGTTAGCTGTCAGAGTTCACTTATTGATAGCTTTGAAAATTAGGTTCTTTCGTGATATCCTACCCCAGATGATGTCACAGGACAGTCGAACATTTTAAAGGGTGGTATCACTGAGTTTTCTGGCTTTTTGATGCTTTTAATGACCCCAACACATCTAGAACTGGCCCTAACCCCAACTCACCTATGTCACACGAGAGAGTGCAGCCTAGGTCCCACAACTGCATGCAGCCTTGGTCCTACGAATGCATGCAGCATATCTACCACCCCCTGAAATATTAGACTGTCCCGTGACCTGTGGATTCCCCCTGCTTGGGGTAGGATATTAATAAAGCACCAAAAATTTCTTACAAATGCTATTGTAAAAACTTTCATAAATGCTTATTATCATAAGCATTTAGTGAAATTAATTGTTGTATTCTTTATGAATTTTTTTAACCCCCCCCCCCCCCCCCCCCCCCCTTCCCCCTCCAAAATGACTTGTATGAAATCTGCTTATTGAAAATTTGTATTTATGTGCATGAAAATGCCAGGCATTGATTGATAAATTGCAGAAATTGAAGGCACCAGAGGTTTGTTTTTTCCCCAGAAGAATATTTAGCATTTTTGACAGAGTTTAAAAAATAGATTGAAGTATTAGGAAATGTATGGGACATATCATCAGAAGAGCTTGACTAGACATATTTCTTTGTTTTGAAAAATACTAGGCAAGATAAGCTGAGGCAGACTAAAAAAAAAAGATAAAATTGAAAGTCTTAACCTGCTAGGTAAGGAATAATACAAGCACCAGGCAACAAGTTATAATATAAACACCAGCTTCATAAAAAATAATACATGACAGATAGGATTGGAGAGACAGGCAACTTAAAAAGAAGGAGGTACCTTATTATCATTTATTGAGACTTTGATCTTATTAAAAAGTGACATTATTATTACTGTCAAGCATGTTTAATGAAAAACAATGCATGAATTAACAGCACAGCCTGCTTAAAGAGTATTTTAGTGGATCGACTTCGTTGCACCAGGTTTGACCCCACATGAATTGTGTCTCTCTGTAGAATGGCTAATCACTTGCCCAGAGTGTATCATATAGCACAAAATCTGTAGCTCCAATGACAATCCTCATGCATCTCCATAGAAATTGCACTCTTGAACATGGTCTGTGATGAACCTACAACTTTAAGAGATCAAGGCCTGTTGTTTGACCACTTAGCAACTGGAACTCTTCACTACCATGTGGTGAGATTCTTTAATTTGTTCTGTTTTTATTATTACAGTTGTAACAATTATTTTGTTTCCAGAGATGGAAGATTGGGACGTCATAGCACCTACAGAAGTTCCTCAGCATAGAATATCAAGCCTGCTGGACAAAAATTCCATCCTTGGGTCGATCACTGGCACCATCACACAAAATTTGGGCAGAACAGTCAACTCCATGCAGAGAGCCATGGGTCAGTGAATGTTGGAGTAATCTTCATAGTTCACTTTGTCTGTTGGGAAAAACATTTTTTGCTCAAAATGTGTTAATTACTGCATTTGTAAACTTATTTATATTCTTCTTCTGCTGCCACTTCTTCTGTCGCTTCTTCTGCATTCATTGGCTGTGAATAGCAGCAGAAAGTCTTGGTGATTTTGTATGTGTCAGTGTCTGGACTTTGATCCTATTCCAGGACTTGAATGCTATATGCACACCAGTTTTACAGATCTGAATTATTACATATAGACTATTGGTTCCTTACCTTAGACAGATGTGCTACACTTTGATGAAAATATTGATTCTGTCTACATTGATCAAGTATATGAGAGTAACTGGTGGAGATTTCCTAATGCAACATCTACAACAGCCAACAGTGTGACAATGCCATGACAAACTAACAATTGAATAAAAGAATAACAACCAACAACTATTTTACAAGCTAAGTCTGTTTTTCCTATTTTTCTGCATCCGTTGGTTCTAGACTGCAGTGGAAAGCCTTGGTTGTTTGTCTATGTCTGGATTTTCATCTTGTTCCAGCACTTAAATATTATGTGCACAGTAATTTTACAGATCTGACTTATTGTGTGCAGACTGTTAGTTCCTCACCTCAGGCAGATGTGCTACAGTTTGATGTAAATATCAATTCTGTCTACACTGACCAGGTCCCATTTAGGAAACCTGTTTCTAGGATTCTGTGGGTAAGAGATAGGGTTGAGAGAGAGAGAGATATTAAAAAAAAATATGGAAGTAAAGAGACGGAGAGACACAGAAGATATTTGAGGAGAAAGAGAAAACAAATGAACAAACAAACTTTATTTTCAAAGGGTTAAGAATTGGGCACACAGGCCCGTCTTACATTCTGCCCTTCTGGCCTCACACCATGCATTCATTATTTATGCACACATTGTTTTAGCAGATAATAATATAATAATAATAGTATTAATAGGCATCATCAACAACATCTTTGTAACAATGTACCCTAAGTATGCCTACATTTGAAAACAATTATAAAACTAAATATAATAAATCTTGGTGGAAATCAACAGTATTCTTAGGAAATTATTATCTTCTAAGGGGGCATATAGTCTGTAGTGAAATAATATTCAAAAAGCTTCCAATTGTATTTATACGGGGTTGTTGATATTTTTGATTGGTTGTGGAAGTTGGTTCCACAGATGAGCTGCAGAGTACGCCAAGCTTGTTTTGTACAAGTCTATTCTAGGTTTGGGGATGTGTAATATGTTGAGAAGAGATAAGAGAAAGGAAAGTGAGAAGAAAATATGAATTTCAAGATATATAAGTATAAGAGAGTAAGTAGTTTACACCCAAGACAATCAGGTAATAAACAGGCAGTGATGGTGTAAGAGAGTAAGTAGTTTACACCCAAGACAATCAGGTAATAAATAGTCAGTGATGGTGTAAGAGAGTAAGTAGTTTACACCCAAGACAATCAGGTAATAAACAGGCAGTGATGGTGTAAGAGAGTAAGTAGTTTACACCCAAGACAATCAGGTAATAAATAGTCAGTGATGGTGTAAGAGAGTAAGTAGTTTACACCCAAGACAATCAGGTAATAAATAGTCAGTGATGGTGTAAGAGAGTAAGTAGTTTACACCCAAGACAATCAGGTAATAAACAGGCAGTGATGGTGTAAGAGAGTAAGTAGTTTACACCCAAGACAATCAGGTAATAAACAGGCAGTGATGGTGTAAGAGAGTAAGTAGTTTACACCCAAGACAATCAGGTAATAAATAGTCAGTGATGGTGTAAGAAAGTAAGTAGTTTACACCCAAGACAATCAGGTAATAAACAGGCAGTGATGGTATAAGAGAGTAAGTAGTTTACACCCAAGACAATCAGGTAATAAACAGGCAGTGATGGTGTAAGAGAGTAAGTAGTTTACACCCAAGACAATCAGGTAATAAACAGGCAGTGATGGTGTAAGAGAGTAAGTAGTTTACACCCAAGACAATCAGGTAATAAATAGGCAGTGATGGTGTAAGAGAGTAAGTAGTCAACACCCAAGACAATCAGGTAATAAACAGGCAGTGATGGTGTAAGAGAGTAAGTAGTCAACACCCAAGACAATCAGGTAATAAACAGGCAGTGATGGTGTAAGAGAGTAAGTAGTTTACACCCAAGACAATCAGGTAATAAACAGGCAGTGATGGTGTAAGAGAGTTAGTAGTTTACACCCAAGACAATCAGGTAATAAACAGGCAGTGATGGTGTAAGAGAGTAAGTAGTCAACACCCAAGACAATCAGGTAATAAACAGGCAGTGATGGTGTAAGAGAGTAAGTAGTCAACACCCAAGACAATCAGGTAATAAATAGTCAGTGATGGTGTAAGAGAGTAAGTAGTTTACACCCAAGACAATCAGGTAATAAACAGTCAGTGATGGTGTAAGAGAGTAAGTAGTTTACACCCAAGACAATCAGGTAATAAACAGGCAGTGATGGTGTAAGAGAGTAAGTAGTTTACACCCAAGACAATCAGGTAATAAACAGGCAGTGATGGTGTAAGAGAGTAAGTAGTTTACACCCAAGACAATCAGGTAATAAACAGTCAGTGATGGTGTAAGAGAGTAAGTAGTTTACACCCAAGACAATCAGGTAATAAACAGTCAGTGATGGTGTAAGAGAGTAAGTAGTCAACACCCAAGACAATCAGGTAATAAACAGTCAGTGATGGTGTAAGAGAGTAATCAGCAGAGATATAGTCATACAACTACAACAGCAGGACAGTGCCATGACACTTATATATAAGAAGTTAATGATTGAATGAAAGAATAATGTTTATCAGGGAACAATCTTACATATCTGGGGAACATTTTTTCAGAAGACGGAAGAATTAATAAAGAAATCCAGCGAAGATGCAGTAAAGCCAGTCAAGTTTTAGTCCAAATGGCACCAATTTTGAACTGCAAGTGTGTGAATATGAACACTAAAAGAACACTGTGCAACACAGTATTCTTACCAACGCAAAAGGATGGACAGAAAGGTGACTGCAGGAGATCCCCTCCCTGGCACAACGCTCATTCCCTGTCCTCACTGTCCAAGAACTTTTCGGGCCGCATCAGCCTTATCAGTCATCTTCGTTACTTGATGAGAAAGAGTGGTCATCATCATCTTGATAGACAACACACACCAACGCTATGCTATCAATGTTCAACATTGACATTGTCTTCAGAAGACAGAAGGAAAATAATCGCGGCAGAAATGAAGTGTTTATGTACAATGCTAGGTGTAATGAGGAAAGATCGACTTAGGAACAATGATATCAGGAGGAGAGTAGGCACAGAACCAATACTCAACTTATAGGTAGACAACAAATCAAATGGTTTGGCTATGTAACAAGATTGACCTCAGACATGGCACCACAGAGAGCAATTTATACAGATACAGCAGTGAAAAATCCAGAGGTCGAGCACACAGAACATCATCATCATCATGTAGCAGGTCCTTTGCAGAGCGTCGCTCTCATCACGGTTTGCCTTAAAGAAACTCGGTCTCTTGCCAGCTCCCCGGCCCTATGCACTTTCACATTCAAGGAGTCACCTATATCCTGTGCCCATCTCCGTGCCGGTGAGGTTCCCCCCCCCACCCCCCTGGGACCAGCCCCCAAGACAGGATGCCGCCCACTGGCCAATCTTCCCCAACGTTCAGATACCTCAAGATGTCAACACTTCTCCTGCCCTTTGTCCAAGACATTCTGAGAATCTCTCTGCAGCACTTCAGCTCAAAACCCCCTATTCTCTTTCTCAAGGACTGGGAGATAGTAGAATATAGATCTCAGAAATATCAGAGACACTGAAAAGTACTTTTTAAAAAGCGAACAGAGGGGCCTGTTCCAGAGATATCTTCTTGCTGTGATGCAGCGAGGCATTCCAGGAATAGAGAAAATAAGAAGAAGAATCTTACAAGAATCCTCCAAATAAACTCTCTACCAGCCACTTCTGTGCAGGCAAATTGAAATAATATATTCCATATTTTTAGAAATAAATGACAACATAACTCATCATTAATTCTTGTGTTTGCTTGTCTGTTTTGATGCAGGTTTAAAGCAGGCAGAAAATGAAGTGATCAAGCCACTGAAAGCTGCAATGTCCGACATGGAGTTCCACAGTTACCTGGATAATGCAGGTTTCATGGTCAGGCCTAATGAGTTTCGTCTGGCAATATATCAAGGAGGCATTGAACCTTCTTTACGCAGAGTCGCTTGGCGACATCTACTGAACATTTATCCCGCAGACATGTCGGGCAGGGATCGTTTCGATTACATGAAGCGAAAAGAGGAAGAATATAGAAAGTTGAGAGATGAATGGAGAGAAAAATTCTGGAACAATACAGCTACAGAGGAAGTCAAGTATATAGCGGGTATGGTGAAGAAGGACGTGCTGCGTACAGACAGATCTCATGGCTTTTATGCTGGGAATGATGAGAATGAGAACACTTTGTCTTTATTTCATCTCCTTGTGACCTACGCCCTCACTCATCCGGACATCTCATATTGCCAGGGCATGAGTGACCTGGCCTCCCCGCTGCTGGTGACTCAGAAAGATGAAGGTCAGGCTTATATTTGTTTCTGTGCTCTTATGAACCGACTACGAGAGAATTTCACCACAGAGGGCAGTGCCATCATGACCAAGTTCCGGCATCTGTCTGACTTACTGCACATGTGTGATCCAGCTTTGCATGCTCATTTGGCTCAGAGTTCTGCAAGTGACATGCTCTTCTGCTATCGTTGGTTTCTGCTGGAATTCAAAAGAGAATTTCCCTTCACAGATGCTCTATATGTGTTGGAAGTCATGTGGGCAACTTTGCCACCAAATCCTCCGGAGCATGAGCTAGCTCTGGTAGACCCAGATTATTCTAGCCGGCTACTTTCTAGCTCTCCCTGCTCGCCGACTTTTTCGTTCCAGCATGCCATGTATGCAAAACTCCTGGCCATGCGCCGGGTAGGAGCTCGCCAGAAAGTCAGCCAGCCAAATTTACCTGTAACTAGTCTGGCTGCCCAAACTGGTACCAATGACACATTGAACATCGAATCAACAGCGCACTTTGGTAACCACTGCACCATTCAGAATACTGTCTCTTACGACACATCCCCAGGAGACGGTGAAGACAGAGGCACTGATTTTCCAGAGGTGGATAATCTAATGACTCGTTCCATGCAGCAGAAATCTAACAGTATTGATCAGGTCCTTCAAGAAGGGTCAGCTGCTTCACAAGATCTTGATGGCAACTTTGTAAAAGGGCTCAGAGATGGGAATGATGAAGATGAATCTGTTGTCTGTAATGGTGACAGCAGAAGTACTGACAGCATTAAACCATTTGTCAAAGCAAACAGCTCCTATGATACTAGTGATTACTCTTTTCACACTGACCTTTCAACTGATGGCCAGCTTAGGCATGCTAAATCTGATGATATGATCCTCAGCATTGACAACCCTCAGCTTCAATGCAGAGACTCCAGTTCTGATCTGGAGGCTGATAGAAGCTCTAGTCTGAGCTCTGTCACCTCTGAGTCTTCCGAAGCAGGTGACAAGCATATACAGTTTGCTTTGTCTCTGGATTCTAATACAAACTATTCTTCAGAGACATCAGACACTACAGCTGACCTGACTCCCTCCTCCATAAACAGTGAATCTGATCAGGAGAACACAATCAGTGTACAAGCTGATGTGCACAGCAATGACTCCTCTAACACAGACTCCAACACTGGTCTCTTTCAAAGCATGAAACGACTTCTAGCTTCACCCAAACGGCGACCTTTCAACAGCACCTGGAATGACTCTGTTGCTTCACCTCACAAATCTGCACCACTAGTCAACAGACAGAAATACCCTCCTGCAGTTATCTCCCAAGGGATTGACAAAATAGAAGATATCACCAGGAACTCATCCGACTCACACATATCTGAGACACTGGAGACCAGTGAGGCTGCTGAAATTTCAGGATTCGCGGTGAGCTCTTCTACAAAGCTTCCAGTGCGAGATCTCTCAAAGCTTCCCCCTCCACAGGAATTTGGTGCAGGGAACCCTTTTCTAATGTTCATGAGCCTGACCCTTCTCACGCAACATCGAGAGCATATCATCAGCCAGGGGATGTGCTATGAGGAAATAGCCATGCACTTTGACAGGCTGGTCCGCAGGCACAATGCCAACCGCGTGCTGCACCTGGCCAGGCAGATGTACACCGAATACCTCAGAGCTCAACAGGCCAACCTGGACAGAGACAAAGACTCTGCTGACATGGGCCCTAGTTGCTAAAGTCTTTAATTTCTGGCATCCTTTGTGTATGTATTTATTACATTTGGAGTCTAATTTTGTTGCTCCATGGCTGTGAAGTTTCTTCCTTTGAATACTTTGCACAATGTTTGATTAGGTTAAGTACCGTGTTCATCAGGGTGGGAAACTGTTCATTGTTACTCTAATCTTCCCATCCATATAGCAAGAACAGATTTTACGCTCAGTGCACAAACTGAAGCACTAATAAAAGTCCCTTATGCTTTTTTGGCATTTTAGTACAGGATTATTCTCATTGCACATGGGTATCTCCATAAATGCTTCAGTCTCTCCCATAGAAAATGCAGATAATCTCAGCACAGCGCACAAACTCTGTATCCAGGTCTAAATGTATGTATATTATGTCATATAAGTATTTGAGGGTGGGTCAAAGTTCCTTTTATGCCAGTGGTGGGGCATCAAGCATGTGATGCTTGTTATTTTCTTGTATAAATCAGTTGGCTCTCGGTGGCTGATGTGGTCACCATTATGCTGATAGCCTTTACTTCCCAAGACATTACCAGGTACCCAGTTTAGGCTGGCTGAACCTGGGAGCCAGTTTAGGCTGGCTGAACCTGGTACCCAGTTTAGGCTGGCTGAACCTGGTAGCCAGTTTAGGCTGGCTGAACCTGGTAGCCAGTTTTGGCTGCCTGAACCTGGTACCCAGTTTAGGCTGGCTGAACCTGGTAGCCAGTTTAGGCTGGCTGAACCTGGTAGCCAGTTTAGGCTGGCTGAACCTGGTAGCCAGTTTAGGCTGGCTGAACCTGGTAGCCAGTTTTGGCTGCCTGAACCTGGTACCCAGTTTAGGCTGGCTGAACCTGGTAGCCAGTTTAGGCTGGCTGAACCTGGTAGCCAGTTTTGGCTGCCTGAACCTGGTACCCAGTTTAGGCTGGCTGAACCTGGTACCCAGTTTAGGCTGGCTGAACCTGGTAGCCACGCTCAAGTTTGAAAACAAGAATTGACCTTGATTCGGATTTGACGCCTTGACCTTCAGGCCGGCAGACAAGTGTCTAGTCATATTTTTGTGTGATTTTTCTAATTTTAAAATTAGTTATTGCAGTGGCCTGTTCTTTTTTGGTTTTTTTCCCCATCTCCAACTGCAAAAGAATTTTTAACATGCACATAGGAACTCTGAGTTTTTGCCCTTGGTTAGGAAAAAAAAAAAAGGCTAGCTCTCTAATTCCCTACCAGAGGATCTGGAGAAGAGTATACTTTTCTCAGTTTGTTGAAGTAACTATTTACAGAGTAAACGAAACTAGGCTTGGTTAAGTCAGAGTTGTACATCACAACATCTAAGCCATTCCACCCTCTTGTCCCAGTGTGTGTTTGGCAGTTTATACATACTATAAATATTCTACTGTGTGTAGTTATCTAGTTTAGACATTTTGCCAGTGCTGTAACTCTTTTATTTACGTGCTCATTAACAATTTTAACTTACTGAAGAATTGTTTATATATAATATATATACATATATATGGGGTCATCTAATGTTTGCTGTAGTTCGAGAGGACTGAGTATCCAATCTCACTGCCCAAGAGATCAGGTTGAATAGACATTGAACAGTTTTTATTACAATTTCCAGCCGTATACTGGGATTCATACTCAGCAACTTCAAAACCTGCACAGACACCCCAACTCCTGTGCCATTCTACCATCTTATATTTGCATTGGTTGAGCGGGCAGGCGGGGGTGTTACATTCTATACTTCTAAGGCAGATCATTTCATGTACCAGAAATTATGTTTCAGTGTTTTAAATGTTTGAAGCAGTAGAATTCTTGTGACCATTTTTCACTTATTATTATTAATTTGTAAACTTGCTGGCGCTTATATTTCCACCATTGTTTCAGCAGCATATTCAAAGACTTGCATCAATGGATGCCATATATTAAGAGTTTGTTCAATCTCAGCATACCCAGCTTCTTGTATTATGTTTCTAGTCATTTTTAAGTTGACACATGCTCTGTGTATAGCACATATTAATTTGTTATTGTTGACAATTTTGGATATCCAGAGTGTGAATATATGAACTGTCTTGTAGAGTTAGCCATTCAGTGAATTTAAAACTTCTTGTATGTTTGGAATGTCAGTCAACATTAACATTCTGTTAAAGTTGGTTAACTCAGTAAATGTTAACTTTCTTGCAGACAAGTCAGTAAATGTGAAATTTCTTGCAGAGAAGTCCATAAATGTGAACTTTCTTGCAGACAAGTCAGTAAATGTTAACTTTCTTATCAAGTTTGTCAAGTCAGTAAATGCTAAGTTTTCCTGTAAAGGTGGTTAAATCAGCAACTGTTAACTTTATTGCAGACTGATCGGTAAAAAAATAATTTTTTGTAATCTTGACAAGCTATCAAATGTAAATTTCATATAGCTGTAGCACGTCAGTAAAAATTAACTTTTCAGTAGACTTAGAAAGTGAGTAGTAAACTTTTCAGTTGATTTCGTGGCATGTTCGTAGCAGTGCGTTGTTTTTTTATGGCGTATTCATGTGTCAGTGTAACGTTTAACTTTATTAGACAAATACCATTTGTATGTGTTTGTGTGGAGATTATCTTTTAGGCTGACGGTTACATTTGGTCGTTTTATTTGTTAACTCTGAGTCCCAGGGGGTTTAGCATCAAAGCCCCAAGGGGTGGTAATGCAATTTGTTAATTTCACAAGTGTAACACATTAAAACATACCATACTAATTCAACTGCTGTGCAACATACACATATTATACATCAAAGTGACCAGGGATTGTTGATGAATAATAATAGAATACTATTACAACAAATAAATGCTTTGATAATTAAATATTAGTAAATAAACGGACGGTATGTTTACAGAAATTGGTAAATCACCACCATGGCACTCAAGGAAATATATCTAAACTGAAAAACAAATGAATATGAACCCCTTAGTAATGTATAAGTTAAATATAAATTGTATCTGTACATTAGATTCTGTTCCAGAGAATCTTTTGAAGCATCATAACAGAGCACCATTATTTGGTTAAAAAAACTGACTTCCCAAAACAATTGGTATCTTCACACAAAATGAAGTATATAAAACATTCAATTTGCCTGTAATTTTGTAGCTATGTTCCTAAATTATAGTGGGGAATAGCAACTAGAACTAACTGACACTGAAGAAAATCATCTTTTCACTAATTAATATTAATTCTATTTGTGCCAGCCGACTTTGTTACCGTTGTATGCTTTGTGTGAGGTACATATTAGAGCTATCCCTCATCAAAGTTTCACTCTATAAATGGCTGAAACAGGTCTACTTCGCAATGTAATCTATCTAAATTCGGATACATCTAATAAACAAGTGCTTTATTTAAATGTGAAGCTTCTAAAGCCGTAAATTGTGTTGGCATGCATGTAGAGAACTGCTTGGTGGCCATATTGTTTTCAAACAAACACTTAGTAATCCGGTAAACCTCACAAATATACTATATATTTGTCTTTTAAACCACATTTCCAAATAAGCATGTCTGATACCTGACACAAAGAACTCCAAAGGGAGTTGTAATTGAGCAGTCTGCATTTTATTACTGGTCAGGGGTAAATTAGAAACCTTCACTTGTCACGTGTTGATTGGGCCGCTGGGTTGTAACCAGTTAGCGCGTGATGCGTTCCCTGGGACTCAAATAGTTAGAAACCTAAAGGTATTGTTTACACAGTAAATGTGATGAGTTGTAGAGAAATATAAAGTAAATGTGATGAGTTGTAGAGAAATATAAAGTAAATGTGATGAGTTGTAGAGAAATATAAAGTAAATGTGAAGAAGACAACTCTTATGCTTTCAGACAGAGATACCAGAGTCGGAAGAGATCAAGCTGCTAACCCCCTATTTGATTAGACCAGTCCCTGTGTGGGTTTTGGGGCCCTATTATAGGGAAAACAAGAATAGACCCACTGCCTGCCTAAAAGCATGTCATAAGAGTCGACTAATTGGGAGCTTCCTTCAAAGTCAGAATGCATCTGCCTGAGAGGCAAGGAACCAGCAGCTGCATACAAATGAGTCAGATCTGTAAAACAGATGCACACGCAACACTCAGGTTCTGGAACAGGACTGCAGTCCAAAAGTGGATGAGCAACCAGAACTTTCCACCGGAGTTAACAGCTGGTGAACGCAAAGAAGAAGAAAAGATTAGACCATTTGGGAAAGGATAAGTGACGAAGTCCAGACTTTTCAGTTTGGTATTCTGCTGCACAAATTGAAGGGCTCTGTGATAATATTCACAAAACAACAAACAAATACCTTCTTTAGAGTGCAAGCAATTTTGTATTTTAACTTTAAAAAAATGATTCTAGTATTTATTATGTGTTGTAAGTCCACAATGTCTGTTACAACGAATAGGGTCCACATGTATGAGCTGTTTGGAATTACAACATACAAATACAGTGAGAACCGCGGGTGTAGTAAATATCTTGCTGGCTGTCTTGTATCTCCACCGTGAGCCTTATGTGACATCAAATGGCACAGCTGGATGATGATCATGATGTCATGATGATGCTGATGTCTTTCTTTCAGTAAATGCTCAAACACTTTAGACTACACCTCCTGGGAACCCATTGCAGGTCGATGAGAACAATCTTCACATTGGAGAGGGTTTTGAACCCACAACTACATGGGCTAGCAGGTACGTCCCTACCTTGACTGCCTGTAGATCAGATGAATTCTACTGTAGTGTATTGTTATTGTAATATCTATTATTTGCTGTTGAACAGCACACATTATTTATTATTTGTATGTGGGTTATCTGCTTGTTTTCATTCCATACCATAATGCATGTGGTGAAAGCATCTCTGGAACGCAGCACATTCAGTATGTCTGCCCTGTCCAGACTTCTTCCTCCACTAGCCACTGCAGATACGGCCAAATTGTCGGCTCTTTTATTTTCTTTCACCCCAATGTTTTCCAGTATGTACAGCCCTTGGGGTGGGGCTTCTGCCTTCTTTCAACCCGTTCTGTTTGGAGTTTGCCAGTTTGAT